CGTGAGTGGAGGGTACGGTCGGGGAACGGTGGGGTGCCCAGGAGGGACATACTAGATCCATCCCTCCTGACTGAGTTTCCCCTGGGCATCCACCGCCCGGGTCGCGCGTCCCCTGGCCGTCCCCGAGGCCGGGGTGGGCCGCGGCTCGGGTACTGTCACGGTTTCGGCCGAGGCTGCTCCTCCTCCATGGTTCGGGCAGGGCTTCGGCGTTCGCCGTCCCCGGAGAGTACTAGCTGCCACCGCTCTATGTTTCTTTGTTCCATTGCTTTTGTCTGTCTGTCACACCTGTGTCTGTTTGAGAGTTGATTACGGTCTTATAAGTACGTGTTGTAATCTAGGGTATTTGTGTGTGTTTTCCGTTGCCACTTGGTTTCTGATACGTGTTTATTTTCCCGTGTCATTTTCCTTGTTCAAGTGTTTACGCGTGTGCGTAATTTTCCTCGCCACTTCATGTTTCGAGGTCGGGGCTTGTATACTTTATTGGAGACTATTAAAAGTCTTGTTGGGACTAACCTCTGCTTCCTGCGCTTGACTCCTCCACCACATCCACAACGGTTTATGACAACGAGCTTCACCACTTCTCAGATGCCAGCGTCACAGGCTATGGGGAGTGTACTTATCTCAGAACAATCAACACCAATGGGGATGTCCATTGTTCGTTAGTCATGGGGGAAAGCACGTGTTGCCCCCACCAAAGTGACCACAATACCACGCCTTGAGTTATCTGCAGCAGTGGTAGCAGCAAGGACAAGTGTTGTGCTCAGAAAGGAGCTCGAAATAGATGGTCTTCAAGAACATTTTTGGACAGACTCAAAGGGTTGTCATTGGATATATAAACAATGATGCAAGACGATTCCACGTCTTTGTGGCTAACAGAATACCAAAGAATCAAGTCCACTACAGATTCAAAGCAATGGCGATTTGTACGTTCTGAAGATAATCCTGCGGATCATGCTTCAAGAGGCCTAAAGGCAGATCAGCTTGTAGCTTCAACTTGGTTTAATGGGCCAGATTTTCTGTGGAAAAGAGAGCTGCCCATAGAAGACGTCAAAGTAAGTGAGGTCATTGACAATGATCCAGAACTTCGAAAGGCCCAGGTGCTCAACACAAAAGCAAAAGAGGACAGGACATTGTTAGACCGCCTGACAAGGTTTTCTGACTGGAAAAGAGCCGTCAAAGCTATGCTCGTCTTAAGCGCCATGCTAAGCAAATCAAGGGTCTCAAACTTAAAACAAATGAAGCCACAAGTGTTGAGGAAAGACAGGAAGCAGAGCTTTTCATCATCAAATTGGTTCAAACGGAAGTATTCAGCACTGAAATCAAAGGTATAAAGCAATGCAAGGAAGTAAAACCCAAAGACAAAACAAACAAGCTACACAAACTAAGTCCCTTGTTGATGAGTACGGTGTGCTCAGGGTTGGAGGACATTTGACAAGATCTGCCCTTCATCCACATGTAAAGCATCCTGCCATTGTACCTAAGGCAAGTCATGTGTCTTCTTTACTCATCAAGCACTACCATGAAAAGGTGCATCATCAAGGAAGAGGAATAACTGTCAATGAATTGCGATCCAATGGTATATGGGTTACAGGTTGCAGCAGCGCAGTTGCCTCGCACATCTACAAATGCACAACATGCAGAAAGTATAGAAGGAACACACAGGAACCAAAGATGGCAGACTTGCCAGACGAGAGACTGGAAATGACCCCTCCATTCACATATTGTGGTATAGATTGCTTCGGACCATTCTATGTGAAAGAAGCGAGAAAGGAACTGAAAATATATGGTCTTCTTTTCACTTGTATGTGTTCTAGAGCCATACATATTGAAATGCTTGATGATCTCACTACAGATGCTTTCATCAATGCACTGCGTGCATTCATTGCAATACGTGGAAATGTAAGACAGTTGAGATGTGATCAAGGCACCAACTTTGTTGGCGCTAAAGGAGAGTTCATGAATGCAATGAAGGACCTGGATCATGAACAGGTAAAGGAACATGGATGTGAGTTTGTTATGAACTTCCCAGCATCAAGTCACATGGGAGGTGTATGGGAGAGACAAATTAGGACCATCAGAAGCGTTCTAACAGCGATCCTTGACCAATCTGCTAAAAGACTTGACAGTGCATCACTTAGAACCTTCCTGTATGAAGTGATGGCTATCGTAAATAGCAGACCTCTGACAACAGAGCACTTAAATGATCCAACAAGTCTTGAACCTCTCACTCCCAACCATATCCTCATGATGAAGTCAAAGATAACAACTCCCCCTCCTGGTCAGTTTGTGAGTCAGGATCTCTACCTCCGCAAGAGATGGCGACAGGTACAGTTCTTGGCAAACGAATTCTGGACACGGTGGAAGAAGGAGTACCTCCTTAATCTTCAGCAAAGACAAATATGGCAAAAGGATAAGAGAAATACGAAGGTTAATGACATTGTCATCTTACAAGAGGACTGCTCTCCACGAAATCAATGGAGATTAGCAAGAGTAGCACAGGTGTACCCTAGCACTGATGGAAGAGTCAGAAAGGTAAAACTGTTAATTAGTGACTCAACCTTAGATAACCAGGGAAAACGCACTACAAAGCCAGTCTATCTTGACAGGCCTGTATACAAGACAGTTTTACTGCTTGAAGCAGAATGAATGTTATGGTTAATTTGTGAGGTGAAATTCCAAAGGATGTGATTTGGTGGGAGTTTAACTGCCATAAATGTTATTCATGTCATTATTAATGTTATTCATGTCATTATTAATAGGTTTTACATAATATCATTATTATTTGTACAAACTTGTATTTTGAATATTGATTTTGCTTGTATTTATGTGATAGGAACTATCTGTACATTCTATGTTGTGTTGGGACGCTTTTAGTGGTGACAAGTTCCAGACATCGCGGTAAAGTAGCGGCGGTAAAGTTTAGTACTCTGAAAGATAAGTTAAATTAACGTAGTGTTTATTTACAAGTATTCTTGTTTCTAAGTGGACCCATTTCCCTCTCAGTTGTGTGCAGCCAGCGAGGTATGTTCATTATGTTAATTATTTGTCGCGCATATTTACGTGCAAGGTTTCTGTAACGTGAACGCCAACTTGTTTTTTGTGCATGTGTTGAAATGTATTTAAACAGTTCGACGGTGGATTGATGACGGTGGAGAATTTAGTAGAAGAATGAATCCATCAGTAACCAGAACAGCGGCGTTGTGTATTTCCTGGAGGGAGTGATACATACATTATTTATATTTTTCATACTGGCCCCCCGTGGGAATCAAACCCACAACCCTGGCGTTGCAAACGCCATGCTCTACCAACTGAGCTACATCCCTGCCGGCCATTCCCTCCCCTACCCTGGACGACGCTGGGCCAATTGTGCGCCGTCCCATGGGTCTCCCGGTCGCGGCCGGCTACAACAGAGCCTGGATTCGAACCAGGATCTCTAGTGGCACAGCTAGCACTGCGATGCAGTGCCTTAGACCACTGCGCCACAGTAAGATATGTATTTTATTGTCTGTTACATGATTAATAAATATATTTTCCCTGTTCACTCCCCTTACAGATCCAAAATGGAACACAGAGGTAATTATTTTAACAGGACACAGGCCTTCCACTTATTTAAATAATGTTTAAGGCCAGATCTTAGGTTAGGCTTATATATGTCTGGGCGGTGATCTAAACCAAAACATTTCTACTTTTAGTTTTAGGGTCAATACTTGACTTTTCTCTTTTTTGTCCATTACAAAACAGAGGTGCCAAGGTTGATTAAATACTACACCATCACCACTGGCAATACTATGGGTTCTCATACCCAATTTATGAGACATCTTGGAGGAGGCTTCACTGAAGTGATGTCACCAGAGCAGAGTGATGTCATCATGGCTTTCTGTCCCATTGTCTCTCGTGCTGGTACTGATATTGAGGCAGCACTGCAGCAGATTCCTGGTAGCCAACCCCCAAAGTATCCTCAAACTATATTACTGTCTCTTCTATATATTATATCTCCACATCAGTGTTGATCTAGATAGAACATGTATCAAGAGGCTAATGACATTAATAAATGCTGTGTTTGTCCCTCATTCCTTTGACAGATGATAAACATGTCATTCTGGTAGTCCTGCATCACTTTTTTAATCCGGAGTGCACTGTACCTGACAGCAGCAGACTAGTGACCAGAGGTGATATAAAACTCACAGTGGACTGTCTCTTCCATGAGAGTCAGGGAGGACTACTGAACTGTCCTCGCAACAAAGCAGCAATTGGTAACATTCTGATCCAGCTGAACATGAAGCCAAAGGTAGTTCACCCATGTTGTATGTGTATATTCGTCATTCATTCATGATCATTCATGAATTGGACACACAAACCAAACACATTTGGTTAGCAAAATGAGTTCATGCAAAAGCAGATATTTTAATTTAAGGGTCCAAGAGTGTAAATAATGTTTTTTTTCATTTAAATATTAGTATTTGTTATTTGTAATCAAAGTATATAGAACTAGTTTATTTAGTGTATTGAAATACTGTATTCATAGGTGACAGATGTCGTCATGGACATCCCTGATCACAGGAACAGGCCAGTATGTATATTTTCATTTTAGGAGTTGCCACTTAACTCAACAGCTGACAAAATACCCAACAATTGTATACCACTATATGATGTCATATAGAGCTTTTATACAAAGTTTATATACATTTTGTATGTAATTTGCAATCTTTCTCTCTGCTGCAGCGCACATTTCTTGTAGGTAAGTACCAGCTATAAATCATACATTAATATGATATGTATGTACAATATCTACATTCACAGCAGTGTTTGACTACAGTTGCAAAACCACATCCACCACTTTCTGATTTCAAAAACTATTATGAAGGAAGTGCCTCCTGTCTCGTTTCAAAGAGATAGCTCATCTTGATAACTGGATTGCCTCATTTCCAAATAAGCATAATGGATTACAGTGTATTTTTCCCCTTGAACTACTTTTGATGTAATGCAATTAAAAAGATAAAGCATTCTATCTAGATAGTGTGAATTATTTCTACATTTGCTTCATATTGTCTGTATCTCTATAGGGATGTCAGGGATGGTGAGATTCTTCATATTTGTGTATGGCAATACCTTGGGTGCTTATGTGGATTTGACAAGACATCTCGTCATCAGAGGAGGCTGTACTGAAGTGATGTCACTAGAAGAGAGTGATGTCGTCATGGCTTTTTGTCCCATCGTCTCTCGTGCTGGTACTGATATTGAGGCAGCACTGCAGCAGATTCCTGGTAATTTAGTCAGGGCAGAATCAATCCCTCCAAAATGAATGGGAAAATAGGCAAACAAAATAAAATGGTAATGAGATGATGTGTATTTTGTTTTCTTTTTGACAGTTGGTAAACCTGTCATTCTGGTAGTGCTGCATCACACCTTCAATCGAGACTACACCGTACCTGACAGCAGCAGACTAGTGACCAGAGGTGATGTAATACTCACAGTGGACTGTCTCTTCCATGAGAGCCAGGGACTACTGGAGTGTCATCGCAATGAAGAAGCAGTCAAAGAGATACTGAGGAAGCTTAATATACATCCTGAGGTATTTACTCATCACCACCATTTTGAATTTCACTCTGTTAATGATGTACTGTGAGAGATAAAGATAACGTTTTAATCTTTCTTTCTTTTACAGACTGAATCTGGATCTCGCTGTATGGGCCCGTGAATGGTATGGAAAACCAATGCAAATGCCAAAATACATCTGCAATATACTGCATTGTACCCTCTCAACCAAATTCATATTGGGATTTGGCCTATCTTTTTTTTCATGATGTCTTCAGCTTTTGTATTGATGGTCAAAGTCATATTCAGAGGTCTACTTGTAGCTAGTAATTTAGTAAATATACAGTACAACATCCATACTATTCTGAAGGTTATGAAGACAATGTGTCTTTTTCCAATTGTTAGAATTTCCAGATGGCATGTTTCTGGGTCCTGGTTTGGATCATGGCAGTCAGGCGTTGTAAGTCCATCATTAATTAAAACTAAATTCTACAACATTACACTATTTACAGTTACTTATATACACATTATATTCATAACTAATAACTATATAATCCATATACATAGATGTAGGTAATTATGACACGTTTTTATACAGAGGTTATTTTGTTTGCATTTCAGAAACCTTGACTCTTGTGATAATTGTACTTTACTGTAGCTAACTAACATTTACTACCATCTTACAGGTCGCCAGACACAACCATTTGCATTTGCTGTTGGTCTTGTTATGTTTCTTGTTATTTTGTGTTTGGCTATATTTTTTATTGTACACTGAGGTTTATCAAAATAACCTAATGGAAATAGAGCAAGTAGGTCTAAACTGCAATAGAGGAATAAAACTGTAGAAATTACATAGACAACACAGATAGACTGACTTAATTGTACATTAAAAGTAATGAATAAAGCCTAATAAAGCACCTACTCTACCTACCTTTATCTATCAGGATAGTGTGTTAGTTTAAGATGGCACGATGCTCATGTAATATTGTAGGCCTACTCTGATTGTATATTCTGTGTTGTCACTTTAAATACCAGTTTGCACTCATTGAGAAACGCCGGTTGGCTATTGGCCAACAAGCTGTGTCAACCATAAACTAAAACTACAGCTATCCATAGCTGTCATGTCTCCTCCCGTTGCTCCCCTCCGGCGCTCTGATTCGCCGGTCTACTGAGCCACCGGTCTGAGCGCACCACCTCGGCAACACCGGAATGGAAACACAATGCACCCTAATCACCACCAGCGCACCTGCACCTCATCATCTCATCACAACCCCTATTTAGCCCTGGACTGTTCTGGATGATGTTGTGTGTGTGATTGTTTAGCATTGTGTGGTTTACTCTATCTTTGTTATTTCTCTTTGTCATTGTTTAGTAAATCTTCACCTTGTTAATTCCCGCGTCTGCGTTTTGCCTCTTCGTATACTCAGTACGCGTCACAGAATCACACACCAAATGAAAATGGATTCAGCAGGAGTTTCCCAGTGCCTCGACCAGCACCAGCAGCAGATTGCCCAGTTGAACACCGCCATGCAGGAAGTGCTCCAAACTCTGCATAATCTGCCCAGCGCTCCGGTTCCACCTCAGGGAGCGGCGAGTGCCCCCAATCCACCTGTTCCCGTGCTATCACCCACTCCGGCAGGAACCCTCGCCCTACCGGAGCGCTATGACGGTAAAAATACTAAATGTAGCGGCTTCCTGCTACAGGTTTCCCTTTATCTGGCGCGTTAGCCTGGGCATATCCATCTGACCAAGCCAGGATAGCGCTGGTGATTTCACTTCTTAAAGGAAAGGTGCTGGATTGGGCCAGTCTGGGAAGGAGAGGAGGCAGTGGCACTTCCTATCCCACCTTCCTCGTTAGGTTTAGGGCGGTGTTTGATCATCCCACAGAGGGAAAGGACGGCGTGAACGTCTCCTCCATCTACAACAGAGAGAGGGGCCCGCGTCCGAGTACGCTCTGAGCGGCGTCTTCCGGCTGGAATGAGCGTGCTCTGCGCACAGCCTTCAGGAGAGGCTTACGGGAGGACATCAAGATGGAACTCGCATGTAGGGATGACGAGATGGACCTAGATACCCTCATTACCACGTCCATCCGAGAGAGAGAGACGGCGTTCCCAACACCTCCCGTAGCCTCGACGCTCACCTCATCTGAGCTATGGAAGCCGCCCTGCTTCCGAGTCTTCACCGATGGAGGTGGGCAGCACCCCCTACACCACCACGGACCACAGATTTCCTGGCGGCTCCCTATCTAGGCGGTATGACTCCCGTCGCCGCTCTGTGAGTCTTACATCAGCTCCTATCACAAAACCATTGTTTTTAGTTCCCATAACGGTGACTGGTTATTCCTTCTCTTCCATTTCTACCGCAATGATAGATTCCGGATCAGCGGGGAACCTTATAGATAGGGAGCTGGTCTCTGAATGGGGGTTGCCCACCGTGCCACTGCCATCTCCGCTACACGTCACATCACTGAACAATAAACCCCTTGTATAAGGCACCATTACGCACATCACTCTCCCCATCACCATCACCATTCCCACACTACCAGAGCACCATTGTCACGTCACCCCTTCACCGGATCGTCTTGGGATTGCCCTGGCTCAGACTACACAACCCCCACCATCAATTGGAGCACCAAGAGGATCACAGCCTGGTCCAACCTCATGCCGGAAGACCTGCCTGCCAGTGGTTTGTTGTTCGACGTCAGCGGAGAGTCCGGAGTCCGCCCTCCAGCCCAACATTCCACGTGAGTATGCAGATCTCTCCGATGTCTTCTCTTCATTAAAGGCTACGTGTCTCCCTCCTCACAGGCCCTGGGACTGCACCATTGACCTGCTGGAGGGACAACACCCACTTACCCCCTTTCCATGGCAGAGACTGGAGACCATGGAGAAGTATGTGGCGGAGACCCCTCAAACTGGGGTTCATCAGACGCTCTACCTCTCATGCCTCCGCCAGCTTCTTCTTCGTGGCCAAAAAAGACGGAGGACTGAGACCATGCATTGACTACAGGGGGCTGAATGCAGTCACCACCAAGTACCGGTACTCCCTCCCTCTGGTTCCGTCGGCCATCGAGCAGCTACGAAGGGCCCAGTACTTAACCAAGTTGGACCTGAGGAGTGCCTACAACCTGATCCGAATCCGGGAAGGAGACATGTGGAAGACGGCATTCAGCACCACATCAGGCCACTATGAATACTGCGTCATGCCCTACGGTCTTGCCAACACACCCTCTGTGTTCCAGTCCTTCGTCAATGACGTGTTCCGGGACATGCTGAGTAGACAGGTGGTGGTGTACATCGACAATATCCTGATCTACTCGGCTATGTTCGAGGAGCACGTCAGGGACGTCCGTGCTGTCCTACTCCACCTCCGGGAACACAGCCTGTTGGTGAAGGGGGAGAAAGGCGAATTCCACCAACAGTCCATCTCCTTCCTGGGATATTGGATCCGTCCTCAGGGGGTGTTCATGGAAGGAGTGAAAACGGACGCCGTCAGGTCATGGCCAGTTCCCACCACCATCAAGGGCCTACAGAGCTTCCTGGGCTTGCTAATTTCTACCGGCATTTCATCAGGTCCTTCAGCTCCATCTCCTTAAGGGTGGACCTCAGAAGCTGGCCTGGAACCCTGAGGCTGAAGCCGCTTTCAAGAGGCTGAAGGAGAGGTTCACCACAGCCCCCCATCCTAAAACACCCAGACCATCTCGTCCATTTCATCCTGGAGGTGGACGCATCAGAGTAGGGCGTGGGTGCGGTCCTCTCCCAGCGGCACGGTAAGCCAAGAGAAAATGTATCCCTGTGCCTTTTTCTCTAAAAAGCTTACCCCCGCAGAGAGGAACTATGGAGTTGGAGACAGGGAGCAGTTGACGGTGGTCCTCGCTCTGGAGGAATGGAGACACTGGTTGGAGGGCGCAGTCCATCCATTCCAGATTCTTACTGACCACCGGAATTTGGAGCACATACGGGCAGCGAAACAGATGAACTCTCGTCAAGCCAGGTGGGCCCAATTTCTCACTCACTTCCAATTCATTCTGTCCTACCGTCCAGGATCCCAGAATGTGAAGGCCGACGCACTCTCCAGGATGCACCATACCGGAAAAAGGAAGGATCTGGGTGGTCCTATCCTGCCTTCGTCTCTCATCGTTGCTCCTGTCGTTGGGACTGTGGACGAAGATATCCACCTGGCGGCTCAGGAGGACCCAGCACCATATCCGTGACCTGCTGATCTGGGCGACACCACCACTTACAGCAGGGCACTCTGGTATTACGCGCACCCTGCATTCTCTAGCCCAAAAATACTGTCAAATGGGGCAGGTGGAGCGCATGAACAGGAGTTGGACAGGTCTGGGACGCCACCCATGTCCATCTCCAAAGGGCCATTCGTCGGCAGAAGGACAAGCCAACCAGCCTGGGGATCGTGTCTGGCGTCCACAAAAACATCTCCCTCTCCGCCTGCCCTGCAAGAAACTGAGCCCCCGGTTTGTGGGGCCATTTAAGGTCCTCCGGAGGATAAATGAGGTATCATACCGGCTGCTCCTGTCCCCCTCACTACCATGTCTCACCCACGTTTCATGTGTCTCTCCTCAGGCCGGTGGTTCACTGGTACTCTGGCGGATGCCGTCCACCGAGGCACGCCTCCTCCGCCCCTGACATTGACGGGAGTCCGGCGTATGCATTACCTGGTGGACTGGGAGGGGTATGGTCACGAGGGGGAGAGGAGCTGGGTTCCGGGCTGGGGACGTTCTGGACCCCATCCTAATTCGGGACTTTCGCCGCCCTGACCGGCCTGCTTTCATCCTCGGGTCGTCCCTCCTGGCACCCTGGGGGGGGGGTGGGGGGGGGGTACTGTCACCGTCTCCTCCCGTTGCTCCCCTCCGGCGCTCTGATTCGCCGGTCTACTGAGCCACCGGGCTGAGCGCACCATCCTCGGCAACACCGGAATGGAAACCCAACGCACCCTAATCACCTCCAGCGCACCATGCACCCTCATCATCTCATCCACCACCCCTATTTAGACCCTGGACTGTTCTGGATGATGTTGTGTGATTGTTTAGCTTCGTGTCGTTTTACTCTATCTTTGTCATTGTTTAGTAAACCTTGACCTTGTTTAATTCCTGCGTCTGCGTCCTGCCATCTTCGTATAGTCAGTATGCGTCAGAATAGC